CTTGTTTTCGCAACTTGGTCACATTTGTAGGAAGACTTAGAGGAACGTACCTAGTCCAGAGTCCACTGTAAGCATGATTATTTCCAAAGTTGGACCGTGGACGTGGTACTTTCCCATACGTTTCGTTGGCATCATCAGTGAGTCTCGCCATTCTTAGCACCATACAACTTGTCTCTTTGACGAGTTGTTGAGTGATGCTAAGAATGGCGAGACTCACTGATGATGCCGGCGAAACGTATGGGAAAGTAACACGTCCACGATCCGACTTTGGAAATGCTCATGCATACAATGGACTCCGGACTAAGTTCGTTCCTCTAAGTCTTTCTACCAATATGGCTGTAATATGTTTCGCTACTAATACCTAATTCTCTTTTAAATGGATAAAACAAAAAAGCTGTATTATCTTGGCATTTTACATGGCTTGTCATAGCTTTTCTGATAACAAGTACACAGTATTTCGTCAATATTTCCTATGATTATATTAAGAAACTTTTAGTCTATCCTGAATAAACCATACTAGATCGACCAATGTAAAACAGAAATTAATTTATAATTTCCCACTGCAAAATGGATAGAAGACTTTACAATTCCTTTATATTTGTTAGCCTTATCTCTCTAAAGGCTTTATTATTTATTTGAGTAGCACAGATGGGGTGGCAGGAGTAGAGTGAAATACGTGAACCAGGGATATAGCAGACGGATCTTACAGGGCAAAGAGAGACTGTGACAGGACCTATGGAATGAGAATTGCGTAACAATATGGCAGACTCTGATTAGCATTTTTAGCACAAGGGTGAAGGGGGTGAGAACAACAGTGTGGAGTGTGAAGGGTTTTCATGATTGCCGCTCAAAAGAGCACACCACACTACATTTAAATAAGCACGGTAAAAATTGTAGCAGTGAAGGCGTGATAGGAGGATATAGGAAACGTGAATAGCCCAGGGCAGAAGGGGAGATATCACAACTGTTTAGCACACGATTGATCAAAGGATAAGCTTCACTTGTCTTTTTGACCAGTTGTTGTGTGATGCTAAGAATGGCGAGACTCACTGACGATGCCGGCGAAACGTCTGGGAATGTACCACGTCTACGGTGCGATTTTGGAAATGATCATGCATACAATGAACTCCGGACTAGGTTAGGGTTAGGGTTTCAATAAGTCTTCCTACCAATATGAACAAGTTTAGAAAACAAAGTCAAACAACCTCTATTATTTTTCATTGATATTCGTTTAGAAACCGCCTATTTCTTACCAGAACTCCCAATGAGATTTTAAATTGGTTCCTATGCCTCAATCAGCAACATTACCACTCCGCCACTGCTAGTATATTTATAATCAAGAGATATGATTTATTTCTTATGTCTGGCTAGAGCTGCTTTTCATTTTCTTGATTTATTCGCTCGTTAATTCTCAAATACTTGTATTCCTATCATCTATCATTCGGCTGCACTCCATGTCTTCAAATCTACTATTTACTTGGAATAATTTACCATAATCTGGAGCCTAGGTAGTGGATGGGCTTACATTCCTGCACAAACACGGTGTGATCCACCGCGACGTGAAGCCGGCCAATCTTCTACTCACGCCGGTCGCCCAAAGTGCCTTCTCACCACTCGGTAATCTCATACGTGCGACCACTTTTGCAAGCAATAGCACTCATACTCCCTCGGGCGTCCCCAAGGCTACTTCTATTCCCACTTCATCTTCTACCACATCCCATAATATTACCTCCGCTTCCAATTTCGATTGGCCAATTCATCATTGCGATGATCCGATCGACCTTCTTCGACACCGACTTAGGTTGTCACGTGGATGGCTTGTCAAGCTGACCGATTTTGGCGTCAGCGCTTCTCTCTCGCTTTTCTCACCTTCAACAAATGTAAGTAAAAACTGTTATTCATTTTTTTTGGTTCTAATGGAAGATGTTGATCAAAGCAGGAAAACTTTATCATTGTTTGTTATGATTGCATTCTGAAGTGGGCTGTAACGGATCCAACTGAGGTTATTTTATCTCTCAACTCTTACAGAGCATTAGGTATAGCCTTAAGTTAACGTGAGTTATTATTAAAAATGCTAAATCTTATAATGCTACAGGATTGATAACTACTCAGTGAGGAATGTTCGTGGTATGTGAATCTTATTTCTATGTACTTTTCAATGCTTATCATTTTCGATATTAACTTAAATATAATACACGTGAGACTGCATGGAAGCAGTCTTAAAGGGATTTCTTGA